AAGAGGATAGGATGATCAGAATTTGTTTTTTTTTCCAGAAACTTAGTACATGAAGTATGGGTTAAAGTGGAGAAGTGCTATGATAAGTGAGTTGATGTCAGAAAATGTGAAATTACAGTCATAAAATGCAGAGCTGACATAGAAACTTGATGCCCTAGAGCCTGTCGGTCAGAAAAGGGCAGTTTTCCAGTTGGGAAACACAGTGTTAAAGGGAAAGGTGAAATCACCAGAGATTGACAGTTAAGAAAAGATAGTTTACCTTTCAACTTATCAAAGTCATTTTGAGACAACAAACAGAAATACCAAGAAGGCACAGATGCAAGTTCAGGAGTCAGAAATTAAGATGAAGAACTGGAAAGTCAATGTAAAGATCTCCAGTCAGCACATAAAGTACTGCATTAAGCAAGCTTGAGCAACAAGTGCAGAATGCTGATCATTCTAAATGCCAACAAGAAATTGATGCCTTGAAGCTTTCCAGCCAGTGAGGGTTTTGCTGTGTTTTGGGACCCATTCAAAAATTAGGGAATAAACAGGGGTGATCCCGATTGGGGACTGGTTGAGGGTGAAGCCTTATAATTTTCAGATCAGGACAGGGAATATAATTAAAATCTCGACTCCAAAGCCCCTCAGCCATACTCTGATAAAGGTTCTCTGGATCGACCTAAACCGGTCTAATACAAGCCCAAATTAAAAATAAAGATTTAATGAAAATCCAAAACATAAATGAGGATTCAGGCAATTGACCAGTCATTGGGCCATAAACCAGGTGTTTTGTGCACTTTCCCATGGACTTCCTAACTGACTCTAACAAACGATCTAGTGCCCCAGGACTCATAACATCACAAGCTTCCCAATACTCTAATCCACGTTGGCAACTTCTTATTCAAACATTCCTTTTGAGACGAACACACAGTAGAATTTGAAACTAAGTTAGTTAAGGATGTGGGTAAACTCTGGAGTTAGCCAGAGAAGGATTAAAACCTATTTCCTGAAGTGTCAGAGGGGTGTGATGTTCTTTTCTGATACAGCTTAGATTTAGAGGGACTGTAATGGGAATTTAGTGAAAGCCAGACCCCAACCCCAATCGATTCCCATATCGCTGTGACAAACCCTAGGGAGGGAGATGGTAAAGAGGAATATAAATAAGTTTGAACTGCACTCCTTTGTTTGTCTGATTAAAGTAAGAGCATCTGGGTAAATGGGTTTTTGGAGTAATAAATTGGTTGAAGTGTCTGTATACAACATTTCACTGGCAACAAGCCTAATGAATACAAATTTGGTAAGAACAAAATTCAGATTAAGAATCTGTCTAAACTGCTAAATTAAATAAGAGCAGAAATTACTTTTATCTTTCATTTTTGGATAAAGCATGAAGTTGATTATTGGAATTGTATCATTGGCTTTTGTAAATTAAGTTCAGAGGCAGCAGTTGGGATCCAGTGCTCAGTGGAAGTGGACATGATGTGTATACATAACCAAACACTGATCTGTGCAGACCGATGGCATTGAGAGATGCTTCCGCCCACAACTTCATTGCAACATGGAAGTCGGGTCCATTTGTGTTGACAATTTGCACAGAACTTCAGATTGCACTTGAACTTACATCAAATGAGACTGAAAACCTTGCAGTGTGTCCTGTAGGAAATGACGGACGACAAAAAGGGATAGTTATGTAAAGTACAAGTAAAGTGTTGTAGAGTCATACAGCACGGAAAAAGACCCTTTGGTCCAACTTGTCCATGCTGACCAGGATACCAAACTAAACTAGTCCCATTTGCCTGCTTTTGGCCCATAATCCGTCTATACTTTTCCTATTTATGTACCTGTCCAAATGTCTTTTAAATGTTGTAATTGTACCCATCTGTACCACCTTCCCTGGCAGTTCATTTCCATATACACACCACCCTCTGTATGAAAAAGTTACCCTCAGGTCCCTTTCAAATCTTTCCCCTCTCACCTTAAACCTTTGCCTTCTAGTTTTGGATTCCCCTACTATAGTAAAAAGACCTTGGCTATTCAGCCTACCCATGCCTCTCATGATTTTATAAACCTCTATAAGGTCACCCCTCAGCTTCCTGCACTCCAGGGATAAAAGCCACAGCCTATTCAGCCTCTCCTTATAACATGAATTAGTACCTGAATCTCTCAGATATTGAGTCACCATCATGGTGTCTAAAACCCTTATCCAGCATTTATAATATGGAGATGCCAGTGTTGGACTGAGGTGGACAAGGTCAGAAGTCACATGACACCAGGTTACAGTCTAACAGGTTTATTTGAAAACATGAGCTTTCCGACTGTAGCCCCTTCACCTGACAAAAATCTTTTGTTTAATGCAAAATCAGGTTAACAAAGCAAAATAATGAGAAAGATGGAATCGAAGTTGACAACTGTAAAACAAAAGGTCCCCCTTTATTTTCATTTTCTGAATCTTGAACAATTAAAAACTGAAAGATTGAGACTCCATACTTGTTTAAGTTGATTTTCAGGGCCAGATGGGTTACCTAGCAATAATTAAAACTTTTCATTCCTTTAAAGATATACTGACATTGGAATGGAAAGCTCTAAAATTTTCTGATAATTTAGTGGGTGACTATCATCTAAGTACTCATATTGTTCCATGTGTTTCAAAGAATCACAGAATTCTTACAATACAGAAGAAGGCAATTTTGCCCATCGCTCTTCATACAAGCACAAAAGCCGATTTACAATCTCATGCTTTTTCCCCACTTTGTTGCACATTATTTCAATCCAAATGATCATCCAATGGTCTCTTGAATGCTTCAAGTGAACCTGCCTCCACCACATTTCCAGGCAGCTCATTCCACACCTTAATTACCTGTTGTGTGCAAAAGTTTTTTCTCACATTACCCTGGCTTAATTTGCACATCATTTTCAATATATTTCCTCTCATTCTTTTCCTTTTATGCGCAGGAACAGCCTCCCCCTCTCTACTCTGTGTTGACCACTCATACACACACTGTCAAGCATACACACACACTCTCTCTCCCTCACACACACACAAACACAAACACACACACACTCTCTCTCCCACATACACACACTGTCTCTCTCTCTCTCTATCACCCCCACACACACAACGCATTCTTTCTATCTCTCTCCCTCCCACACACACTCTTCCACACACACGTACACTCTTTCTCTCTCTCCCCCCCACACACACGCACACATTCTCTTTTTCACACACACACATACACACTCTTCCCCCCCATCCCATCCCCACACACATGCACACAAATTTGTGGGGTGAATTTGTATTTGCAGATACATTCTATTTTGTTCAAAAAGCACACAATTTATAGACAGTCAGTCAATGTGGCACTTTATAGATTTCTACTTTACAAATAAAACCAGTCACAACTCCAAACCAAAACACAAACAGATTCTAAACAAGGCCTCACACCTAACATGCATTGCCTGACCTAAAATGTCACCTCTTCTTTACACTGATAAAACCTTAAGTTCTCTCAGTGCATGACTTGAAAGAAATTCGGAGATTTACATAAATCTTTAATCAGTTAGAAGGTTTTACTTGATTAATATAGGTTTGTTTAATACATCCTCATCAGTTGTGTGACCGTTTGATCTTTTACTTTCAGCTCACCTCATGATGAGGCTACGCTCCCAAAGCTTGTGTTTTCAAATAAACCTGTTGGACTATAACCTGGTGTCATATGAATTCTGACCTTGTCCACCCCAGTCCAACACTGGCACCTCCACATCCTGATCACTCATGATTTTGAAAATCGAGCTCGATCAACTGTCATATCTCCTCTCAGCCTTCTGATTTCAAAGGAGAACAGTCCCATCTTCTTCAGTTTATCCTCATAACTGATGTTTCACATTCCTGGAGCAATTCTTGTGAATTACTTCTGCAGTCTCTCCAGTACATTCATGTTTTCCAATCATGTAGTGCCCACAACTGTACACAGTACTCCAGCTAAGGTCTAATAACTGTCCAATACAAGTTCAACATCACCTCCTTGCTCCTGTATTCCTTAACCCTATTAATAAAACCTTGAACACTATGCCTTGTTAACTGCTCTCTCCATCTGTCTTGCCAATGCCCAGGTCCCTCTGCTCCTACTTTAGAATTGAATCATTTTTAAATTTTTTTTTCCTTTATTCATTAACAGGATGAGGATATTGCTGGCTAGGCAGCATTTATTGTTCATCCCTAATCATCCAGAGGGCAGTCTGTGGGTCTGGAGTCACATGTAGGCCAGACCAGATAAGGATGACAGTTTCCTTCCCTAAAGGACATTAGTGAACCAGGTGGGGTTTTCCAACACTTGACAATGGGTTCACGGTCTCATTAGATTCTTAATTCCAGATATTTCATTGAATTGAAATTCCACCATTTACCGTGGCAGGATAATTTGCCTCCCTGTAGACAAATTATTGTCTTTCAGTGTTCTTTGTGGTGAGCAACAATTGCCCCCTCATTAATTTTTGTATACTCTGGGCCAATACATGTATATTTTTATAAAAAGAGAAAATATAAGTGTTAAGCGAATTTCAAGTGTAGAGATAAAATCAGATGATTGGCGACCCGCCTCAACAGCCCCCAGTTAAAAAACAAGCTTTGCCAAGGAATATACAGTAAAATTTGTGAATGACAATACTGCACCGACTTAACAGCACACTGCTCCAGTAAGACCAGTCTGTTCATTACAATTGTGTTTATCTCTGACATCCGCAGGTTTGTTTTGGTTTTGGGGGCACTATGAGGTAATGCTGGACGCTACTCAATACTAAATTAGGTTTCCTCAATCTTAGTGTTCATCTCTCCAGCAGTTACGCCCCTTTGAGAAGCGGGCCAGCTTTATTGAGGGTTTCCATTTGATAACATTGGGGCAACCCCGTTTTCGGAAGGAAACGCGATGCTACTGGCGTACCTCCGGCGCTGGCCACTGGCGTAAATCTGGCGCTGGCGAGCTGCGGGAGACAAGTCCCGGTCTGTCAGAGCAGCGCAAAGTTTCACTCAAAAGACTGGACACCTCAAATAAAAACTGCAAGACACTCTCTTAGTGGGAACGAGGAGGAGGAGAAAAGAACTTGCATTGATGAACGGAGCCCCTACTCCGAGACAAGAACATTGTGACCAAATTTTATCTCATTGATTCTGCATCTGGACGCTGCAGAGTAGAAGAAAAGGATTTAATTGCCTTGAACTAACTGAGTAACAGAGGGGGGAAAAGCCCTCGGGAATTACACATTATAACTGCTAATGTCGAGGTAAGTTTTTCAACAAAATTTACTTCGCAGTGCTGTTCAATGAATGTCTAATGTTGTCCTCTTTTGTTTAAAGACGCCAACGTGTCTTGAATCACCTTTGATTTTATTTGTACGGTTGGAAGCAAAGTCTTAGTCGGGAGGATATTTTGCCGTCAGGGTGCAAAGATTTGCAAAGTGTAAGCACATAGAAAACATAACAAAACCAAGAGCAAGCAAGGAGTGTCTGGAGTTGGAGGGTTTAATATTTATAACATCAAGGGGATCAATATAGCAGGTTGGAAGGTGTTTGTATGTTTCACAGGCGACAGTTGGAATAAACCGTAGAAAAACATTTTTCTCCCTAGGACACAGGTGGAAAGTTTTACAAAAAAACTTCACGCGGCAACGCTCCTTATTTTCTCCATCACTTTGTAAACTTTAATGACTTCCATGCGAGATCTTAGACTTTGCGTAAAAGACTGGGGTGGGGGTTTGGTGACGGTGGTTGCAGTTACGAAAGAATTGGTATTAATGGGAATTACAAGTAAGTTACTAACAATAAGTAAAAGCCTGCTTCCCCATTGCCAGAGTCTTGAGACGGTCAATTACCGAATAGGAAACTTGCCATGCGCGTGCACGGGTGCCCTTCCTCCTCGTGTACGCGCGATCTCACCAGGAGAGTTTGCAATGGTGTTGGATCGGGCAAGTGAACCCTCACATCAAACTTCTAGGATAGGTCACTTTGTTTAAAATTTCAAAGCATACTTTATTCGTAACAACATCTTTCCATGCATACAGAGTCACAGACGCAGTTCGGTTTTGCGTAGTAGCAAATCAAAGAAACAAACATGGCAAAAGCATCTGTTACTTGAATAAGATGATATTTACATGCATCTCAGGCATTGGGAGGATCCAATAACTGAACAGACCCCAGTTTACGTTCGGTAGAAGGACCTCAGACAGCGGTCTTTCCTCACTGCGCCTTGGCAAGGATAAGTCACTGACCTGTGCAATGAGTGAGGAAAGTTCTGTATCTTTCTGTAAAGACTAGTTGGGGAACAGCCTCCACCCGGTGCAGCTACCTTTACAGTGCATGTGATTTGTTATCCGTTAGAATAATGATCTCAGACATGATTTATTCACAGTTCCAGTTCTGTTGTGTTTTGTTTTAGAGTTGAGGGTGTAGTTTGGAATAGGGGTTAACTTCGGGTTTGAGCGTTGGGTTTGGCTAGAGGTAAGGACGTTGGGGAGTTAAGGATTGAGGTTGAGCTAAGGGGCTGGGATTGATGGAGTGGGAAGAGATGAGGTGTTGGCACGGAGAGTAGGATTGGGTTGCAGCAGAGTGATTAGGGTAAAGCTCAGGGGTTGAAGTCAGCATTGGAACTGTTGCTGGAAATTGGAGGAGGAAGCTAGACAATTAGGCTGAGTTAATAGAGGCTTGGAATTGTGTTGGGGATTGTGGCAGATTTGGGTTAAGGGTTGGAGTTAATAGTAAGGGAAAGATTTAAGGTTGCCATGCAGGCTTGGATTGAGTTAGTGATGAGGGAACAACATAAGATGACTCCTCAAACTGACTGACTTTGATCATTGAGTCTGTGCAGAGATTGAGCTTCTGGTATAATTGTGGGCCTTGCTGAAACTTGTCAATAATCTCATTACTCATTATTATTTAGTCAACGTGTTTATTAAAAGGAAGACACAATCAAGGTTTGGACAAGGTGTAGAGCTGAATGAACACAGCAGGCCAAGCAGCATCAGAGGAGCAGGAAGGCTGTCTTTTCGGGCCTAGACCCTTCTTCGTTGGTTTGGACAATATATGTGAAAGTCTAATCTATCCATGGCTGGTTGTCAGTCCAGTGCCACTGGTTGTCATGGCACTAGTAATACAATCGGCACAATTCATATTATGTTCTTTTAAGACTCTGGAAATGACTGTATTCTGAATCAAATATCGAATTCTTTTTACCCATTTGGGTTGTTAAAGTTTTGAACTTTTACCATTGTTCACTCTTGTTCTCAAGTTAGCAAATTATATCTTGTGTTTTAAGGTTCTATCTTCAGAACTTGCTCTCTAAACATCTCCATTTCTTGAACTCAAATTCCTCCTTTAAGATGTTTCTCAAAACATATTTCCTTGGTACTTGTCCCAGTATGTTCTAATGTGTTGAATTTTGTTTGTTAGTGCTCCTGTGAAGTACTTTGTGACATTTTATTAAATTAAATGCGCAAAGTTGTTGGTGCACTCAGATGAAAATGAATTGCTGACAGCAAAGAGATTAGCTTAGAAAAGCAGAATTAATTGATCTATAATGTATAATTACATCAGCTGCAAGCATTAATAGAAATTCAGAATCTGCTGAACAATTCTAATTATGATCTTCACAATAAGCAATAACTCTGATGTAGGTTAGGGGGAGGGAGGTCATTTGGGGTGATGAGCATGAATGTGGAGTATAGGACAGAACATGAATAGGTGGCAGTTGTAACAATGCTATAGAGCTAGCAGTGATTTAACATCAAATAGTACATCCCTTTAAATGCGGTAAACAAAAACTTGAGCAACTAAGGGACGTGTACAAGGCTCAGACAGGTTTTCTGAGAAGGGGCTGTATAACAGGCATTAGATCTCCCATTATGTGTGTCAGCCATGGCTCAGTAGGTAGCATTCTCACCAGATTCAGTAGCTTGGAGTTCAAGTCCCATTCTAGACTCATGAATGTAGAATCCAGGTCCAGCATTCAGTGAGTGCTGCACTGATAAAGGTGCTACATTTCTGCTGAGATGTCACACCGAGGTCCCATCACCCTCCTCAGGCAAGGTGAGAGAACTCATCACAATATTTTGAAGAGGAGTAGGGGACTTCTCCTAGTGTTATGGCCGATATTTATCCCTTCCCAACCAACCTCAGAAAAACAGATTATATATTCATTACTCTCAGTGCTGATTGTGGAAGCTTGTTGTGATGAGAGTTTTTTACATTACAAGCACCACTGGAATTCAAAAAATTATTTAATTGACTGTAAAGGACTTCAGGATGTTACGGGTTTGCAAAAGGCACGAGAAAACTACAAGTTTTTCTTATTTTTCTTCGCTTAGCTTATATAAAGCAATTGAGTTCTGGTTTGTAATTACTTTTAATCACTCTGCTGTGACACATCTCCAGGCTTGTGAGACCTTCTGTCCTAAGAGGTAGGGACACTACCACTGTGCAACGAGTACCTTGAGCTCTGGTTTCAGTTAGTGACCAGAAATGCCTGAATGTTGCATGAGTTACAATTGTATTTTAGGCATGGATCTGTTGTGCAAATTTAGTTGTGTTTGAACCTATTTTATGCTTAGAAAGCAGGCCTAACCTTGTCCAGCAAGGTTGACTGCAGTTAAGGTAGTCAGCTATATCCACAAGGGAACATAGGCATCTCACACTGTTAGACAACCAATTGAATATACAGAGAGTCACCATTCTGTAATGAGCATGAGACAAGGTAACGAGTCAGGCACCCATGAACTATCACAGCCAGTAAAGGGATTGATCATATACCGTTAAACATTGTGCAGCATTGTGTGGCCACCCAACTGACTGAGCTAACATGGTCTGAACCTACATGTAAATGCCCACTGTGTCATCAGGAGAAAAGGAACTTTTCTTCAGCATCTTTTGTCATGTCAGGACATCCCCAAGCAATTTACAGCCAATAAGATACTTTTGGAAGTATAGGCACTGTTCTAACATATGAAGCACAGCAGCAAATTCACACACAGCAAGATCCCACAGATGGCAATGTGATTATGATCAGATAACCTCATTTAGTAATGCTGATTGAAGGATAAACATTAGCCAAGACACCAGGCAGAAACCGCCTGCTGTACTTCGAAACTGTGCCCTGGGATCTGTTATGTCCACCTGAGAGGGCAAATTGAGTCCCATCTTATCATTATATCAATAAGACTCTATTCAAGTTTATAAAATGCCCATTAAACACCAACAGACTGAATAGATTTGGAGCTAGTTTATCATCAGTTTATAGTAATGCTAAAAGGATATCTTCCTACTTGGCTTAAATATTCATGTTAGTTAGAGTAAGCATTGCAGCCCAGAAACCACTCTGCCTTCACACAAACTGCAATTTAATACAAACTTAAATATAAAATAATTGGTTTTAATTGATTGCCAACTTTTTAATTTTTCTTTTGAGACTAATTAGTATTCAGAAATCCCTCACAAATAACTGGTACAATACATCCATCATTGCTTACATTGGACTGTTCTAATTGCATTTCCAGACTACAAATGGCACTCTGCCAAAAAGTAACTTCTTGAAATGATTATCTTTGCAAAACCGCAAGGAAGAGCTTTTTTCTGTCACCATTTAATACACAAAATTATTTAATGCTTGACTAGCAAGTGCTCAGCAATAAACTGCTATTTTGGATGATTCAATTTGGCATGCTGTACTGGTATTTAATCAAAATGTTGTTGTCTTGTGTATGTAGTATACATAGTAAATCCTACTTCCGTAACTTTTAAAATTTACAAACTAGCATGATTTGGAGCCATTCCCATTACTCAAAAGAAAATTGCGTTAGCCAACATATGCTTTGATGTGCGAAGTAATTTTTTTAAAACTGATCAGGATAGGTTGGTATGATGAAATTAAAAAACAACATAAACCCAACAGTATTCAGAGATTCTGAAACCGTAAAATTCTTTGCTAAGCTCTTGAATGCCATGGGGCAAAAACATTTTGGTCATAGTGATCCTGCTATAGCAAGCTGAGTAGAATTGGTTGATGTGAAAGCTTGCTTCACACAATGAGCCTGAAGTGAAAATAATCATAGTGCTAGACTGTTCATGTGACAGCAGGACAAAGGAGGCATTATTAACGGCTGGTGGGCATGCACGGCAGTTGTGGTCACACACAAATTGGCAGCCTGAAGGGAGTCTGGAATCCTCAAAACTAAAAGTGGCCAGTAGATTTATTTGGAGTGTGTTAGTGCTCACAGTGATTTTCTGCGTGGTCTAC